TCTCTGTAAATGTTTATGAAAATTAATAAAATATAATTATAGAGAAAAAAAAAAAGGCAAACACTCCTTGGAAATAAGAAACACACCTTGGAGTCCATCTCAGTAACTTTACAAAAGGAAGATGTCCCTGGAAAAGGACATCATGCATTTCAGAGGATCACTGAAAAAATAGGAAAACTCTCAATGAGATAGACTGACAGTGGCTCCAACAACAGACAGACTCAAATACTGCAAGAAACTGAGTGTGGCACAGAATTGTAGTGGGTCTCATTCTGCTGTACATAAGGTCACTGTGAATTGGAAATGACTAGCTGACATCTAAAAACAAGGTCAACCAACTAGAAAGAAGTAGAACCACTGGCCCTGATTGTGCTGAATTTTCCACTACAAAGATTGAAGATCAAAACTTAAAGGTTCTGTTTTACATCAGGATTGGGAGAGACTGAGAAAGATGGGATAAACTATGTACACTGCATTGAAACAGATGAGGGAGAGAACTGTTTAAAAGGGATATATGATTAGGTATTATTGCCATGATAGGAGTCCAGAATGAAGGCCGCAATAGTGGACTGGACTTGGGGGGGAGGGATTGTATAACAAAGAAAGAATTTTTCTTTTACTTTTCAAAGAGAAGAGAGAATTGGGGGGAGGGGTGGGCAGGGAGAAAAGTGCAACAATGAATAAATGGAAGTCCAAAATCTCTATAAATTTTCATTAAAATTAGTAATAATTTTTAAAAAAATTTTTTAAAATCCCAAAACACTTCAAGGTCCCTTTGTATTGAATTCTAAACAGCACTATCTAATTTTAAATGATTTGCTAATCTTCTGGCTATTTTGCTAAAAAGACACTGCTTAACAGACTTTCAAGAGAACCATGAAGCGAATTCACAGGAGTCAGCCAGAAAAGGCAATTTATTATCAATCATCATCTGAGTATGTGGCAATATACCTGAAAAAACACTTCTGTACTGGCAAAATAATTGTCCATGGAAAGAAAACTGGAGGGTAGGTAGGAGAGGAGGAAGATTTATAGTTCACTGTATATCCTTTTATTTCAATCAAATCCATTTTTTACTTACCAGATGCATCTAAAACAGATAATAAAAATAAAGGAATGTTCTTTCAGTTTTTTAATTCTGATTTGACTAAGGGACAGAACAAATGTTCCTTACTTTTGATGCCATCTAGAATTCAACTTTTTACTTCTTTTTGCAGATAAGATGAAATTTAAAAATCTATGAAGTGCAGCTGTCTGCAATATAGGTGTGAACCAGCTACAAAGAAAATGACCTTAATCATAATAGTTCAAATACTGCACATATTTTTTTAAAAATTTTTAATTTCCTTGCAACTTCTAAGAGATAGAAATGCAATAAACATGGGTGTGCATATATCTGCTTGGATTCTTACGAGAATGAACAGTGGTGGACTTGGCTCCAAATTTCCTTTATATCAGTGTTAATGAATAATCAGAATGACTCTAGCCCTGAATACTAGTAGGGAAACAGAGAAGGCACATTAGAAATTCAGAGCCAACAAAAATTTAGAGCTGTTCACATATAACCTCAGAGCTCTTTTAAGAACATAATGGTGAGATGGTAAGCTGTCTTAGGAAACAGAAATTCATAAAACTGTGGCATTCCTTCCCCCACACCCAAAACTGAAGAAAGAATAAAACTTAAAAAACAAACTCATTGCCATCAAGTCAGAACCAACACATAGCTGAACCTTCAGTGAGTTTTTGGCTGTAAATCTCACAGGAGAAGAATGCCCATCTTTCTCCTGTGGAACAGGTAGTTGATTTCAACTGCCCACCTTTGGGTCGGCAGTGCAACTCCCCAAGCAGAACTCTCCGAAGGAGGAATAAATAAAGTAAAAGAATGCATACAGGGTGGTGCCAGTTAAGAAACAGATAGGCCTGGTGCTATCTAAACTCTTACCCAAGTTATTTTTCTGTTCTTCATCAATACCGAATTCCTTTCCATTCTTAAAATACTTAAGTAAGTGCACTAATTTAAAAACTCCCTAAGTTACAGAATCCCTACTGCTCATGGGGTTTGCTTAAGGTCTTCATTTCTGTTACCATAAGGTTTAGTACGTACTCTGTGGGATGCAGAGGAACCTAACCTGGAATACGAACTACATTCAGGTCCTGGTTCTGTCCTTCTATGAGGACTGATGTAAGCTCCACATCTCACTCTTCCTCAGTGAATGTGGGAGGGACAGTGCCCCTGCTTCACAGCATGGATATGAAGATTAAGTAAATCAACACAGGTCAAGAACTAAAAACAGTGCCTGACACAAACTACTGTTACCATCACAATTGTTATTGACATGCAAGTATAAGTTCTGCATATGACATCTTAATTATTCAGCATTAGCATTTCATACCTGACACTCAGACATTGCCATGGTTTTGTACGGAAAAGAATCAGACGCTTACTGTCATCAGTTAAAGCAAAATAGTTGCCAGACTCAGAGAAGGTGGAAGCCAGGATGGTGTCGCTCCCCTTCTCCACAGGCTGCCCGTCTTCCCTAAGAAAGAGAAGAGGAAAACAATCATCACATCTTGCTGGAGAAAAAGAAGTTGTGTTCCCAACAACTAGCCTTGAAAGTCTACAAGGCAAGTCGAGGTAGAACATGCTTTTAAGAGGCTCACATTGCCAACACATAAAAACAAACAAGCTGCTATCAAGTCTGTTTTGGAGAAGGTGAAACCAAGTTTCCCCTTGGAAGCTAGGATTTTGTAGCTACGTCTCACATACTTTGGGCATGTGCCCAAGTGGGACTGATACTTGGAGAAGGACATCATGCTTGGGAAGGTGAGGGGCAGTGCAGGAGAGAAAGACCTTGCATGATATGGACTGATACAATAACTGGGACAGTGGAATTAGGTGTGCCAGAATCAGTGAGACTGGCTCGGGACAGCATAGGCTTCAGAACTGTCGTACAAAGGGTTCCTATGAGTCGCACACAACTCAATGTCACATAACAGTTGTCACTGAGTCAGTTCCACCACATAGTACCCCCACCTGTGTCAGAGTAGAGCTGTGTGCCACAGGATTTTCAATGGCTGATTTTTTGGAAGTAGACTGTAAGGTTTTTCTCCCCAATCACCTCTGGGCAGATTCAAACTACAAACTATCAACCTGTTAGTTAGTACTCAAGCACATTAACACTTCTACCACCCAGAGCCTCCCGTCAGAATATAAGGACATATCTTAATAAGCAGGATAGGAGAGGTTCAAAACAACTCATTTCCAAGGAGCAATATCCTAAAAGAATATTTCATCAGAACACACACTGAAATCAGAAGAGCTGAGCCAGAAGGGCCATCAGAGATGATATAGACTGAACTGTTCATGGACACAAACTGACCCTGAATCACACACTAATTATATATACTAGTCACATGTAAGCAGTCACTTACTCTGCTTTTCTACCCTTTCAACTCTTGTTAGGTACTGTCAAGTCATTTACGACTCATAGTGACCCTATGAGCAGATCTGAGCCCTATCCTATTCTGCACCATCCTTCTCACCCCCCCAACACACTTGAGTTCACTGCTGTAGTCATTCGATCAATCAATCTCACTAAGGGTCTTCCATCGCTGACCCTCCACCTTTCTAAGGATGATTTCCCTCTCCAACAAACAGCCTCTCCCAACAACATGCCCAAAGTATGCATCTGTTCTCCATGCATTTTTAAATGTATACCATATTCCAAAGAACTAATAAGACAATTACTCTGATAGAAACTAATTATAAGTAATTATAAAATGCACACTGACAACCCAAAGGCATAGCTCTGAATCCAATAGCTGCTCTATGAGAGAAAGGTAGGCAATCTCCTCCCACATGATTGACGACAGTCTGAAAATCCACTGGAGGGTGGGCTATGAGTTGGTTCTGACCTGATGGCAATGAGTTTTAGAGTTGAATATTTCTAAGGTGTAATTTGTAAGTCCAGGTCATATTTCTTTCCTTGATAATTATTTTATCCAAAGAATGTTGTTGTTAGTTACAATCAAGTCAATCCTGATTCATGGTGACCCCACCTGACAGATTAGAGTAGAAACAGAGATTTCTTTGCTGTAATCTTTACAGGAGCAGATGAAAGCACTCAATGAGTTTGAACAGCTAGTCTTGCAGTTAACAGCCAAGTGCTTAACCAAGAATCCTTATCCATCCAGAACGCACTGTCAACTAACTCTAACTCAAAGAGGTCCTATGGGATAAAGTAGAAATTTTCATAGGGCTTCAAAAGTTATAACCTTTACAAAAGCTGACTGTTTCACTTTCTCCTGTGGAGCAACTGTCATGTTTGAATGGAGAACTTTTCTCCAGCAGTATAATTTTTAACCACTGAGCCATAAAGACTCCTTATTCACACAGTAGGTAACAGAAATTATGAATTTAGTAATGAGAATAATGCTTCTGTTCCCGGGATCCTACTGTTCACACTATTAATCAGCCCCTGAAGTGATTTCTAGTCATCTTACCCTTTATTTTCCTGCGGCTTTGTTTCTGCAGTACTGCAATCATATATGAAGAGGCTGCCATCATCACTAAAAAGAAATAAAAATTACTTTAAAAGAAAATCTTTGTTATTAAAAGTTACATTTATCACAAGACAAAAAAAATATATCTGCATGCTTGTTAAAAGAAATTGTGTTCTGCTCAATTTTCAATGTGTTTTTTGGCTCTCAAATTTAAAATGTCATTAAAATGCTTATTTAACCCTCAACTACCTGAAAAGGCTCCCATTACTCCCAAAGAGGGACCACTACCGAAATTCTCCATCTTCCCAGTCAGACTCTAAGCCCTCTTCAATTTGGGTATCTTTGGAGCATCCCTACCATCACACACCATTCTCATGCTCATTTTAAGTGCCTGATGCAGGAAGGCATCTCATATATGCTTACAGATAAATACTATAACGTAAAAAGTAGTCAGAAACGTCGCCAGTCATTGTATTTCCTCAAGAAGCTCGAGTGAAGCATGCAGGTCTAATATCTCTATGGCTTACTGCAACACATACCAGAGATTGCCTCTAAACCAAAGTCTGAAATACATGACAGTTATGTAATAAATTATTTGAGACTTGGAATTAACATCTAAAGGATTTCGGAAGCTAAAGGTCAAGCAGAAGCCCGGAACATACATTTCATCAGCATGATGTCTAATTCAAGTTGTGAATAACAACCCTATGAGAAAGGAAACTAACACTATTAATAACCTCGGCCTCACAGTCAAGTCTATTCCGTCAACATCTACAGTTTCAAAACTCTGAACAGATAAAAAAATTACATAAGCAAAGGCAGAATCTCGTGAAGGGCCATAAGGGGACACGCACGCCACTAGCTCAAGCGCATGAACCGACGCAGAAGACGTGTTATAAATAAGATCCCCGAGGCTGCAGAGCAATTAGGACGAAGTCAGTCAACTGGACGGGGGTGGGCGGAGCAGCAGGAGGGGATGTACACTCATCGTGAGACTCGAGCGTGTCCGTGGAGGATAAGGGTCGGCAGTCCACTCCTGCCTGAAGGCCAGGTATGCCTTCCGCCCATGCCCCCCGACAGTCGTGGGCAGCACCCGAGACCCATCGCTGCTCCCCTCAGCCCACGTGACACTGCCTGCCCAGTCGGCTAGCAGCCGCCACCGAATCCGGAAGTCACTGGGGCGTCCACGGTCTAGGTCCTGGGATAAGGGGAGTGCAGGGGCTGGCGACTCATCCCGGAAGGGGAGAAGGGAAGTCCCAAACCCAGGGGTCAGGTCGAGGCGGCAGCTGAAGGTGTGGGGTGGTCTGGGGTGAATAAAATTGTACGGGAATGGAGTCATCAGTCCCGCCAGTGCCCACAGTCCGGGCTCGCTGCAACAGTCTCCCATGCCCCTCACCTATTTGCAGTAGAGGTGGCCAAGAACCGGCTGCCGCCACGCACCACCAGAGCCTGCCCGCATAGCGACAGCCCCGCCGAACCCGCCATATGCACCCCCAAGCGCGCAGCAGTCCACGTGCGCTCCCAGGCCACTCTGTCTGCTGGTTCCAGGCTATGACGTCACCGGCGGGCGCCTGGAGGTGACGTCACCTCGGCCCGCCCCCGCCGAGGAACCCGCCTGCGGCGTGTGCAAAAAGCCTTTCATCTCTTGGTTCTGCAAAACAACTTTCTATCTCTTGTTGTTGCATCTGGCTTAGCTGCTCGCCAAATGCATCCGAGTGGACTGAATATCACACAACAAGTCAATTACTTGTTTATGTTCATCTTTCTTCAGCCTGGGCCCTGGCGTAAGGGCAGTGTCTGGGAAATTATTTTTCACCTATATCTAGGCAACTTCAGCAACGCTTGGTACCTTCTTTGTGCTTAGTAAATATCTCTTCAGAAAATGAATGAGCTTGACAATTTGGAAGTTTCTCAAAAATTTAAACATAGAATCACCACCGTTGTTAGTTACGGTGCAGTGTATTATGCCACGTGTGAGCTCCTGGAAAGGTTCCAGTCATCAGTTTCTCAGAGGTCAAAGGCTTAACCCTTTGCACCATCCAAGATCTCTATATATGTGTCTATATGATCATTAGTTCCTTTTTACAGAGAACCGTAGGCATCAACGCTCAGTTACTTCTGTTGTGATCTAGTGGTCAAAGCAAGTGATGAGGCCAAGATTAAACGGATTGGGAAAATACACACTTCATCTTGATAAGAGGAGTAACAAAATGACCTAACAAAGATTAGAAATTGAGGTCTACTTGTGTGATCAAATCTGCCAAAAGCTATCTTCTGGCTCAGATTATTCACAAATGGCTACATGAAAGATAATGCTCCTCTTCCCAAGGCATCTCATCCAATCACAATTTTGGGACCAGAGTCCAGGACCCCTTTAACTATATTACATTTGGATGGATCTGCAGATGGCGCATCTCTTGGTCTAGAAATCCACAAGCTTAAAAAATGCATTTTCTGTCCTCCATACACCCATACAATGAGTGATAAAATGGGGAAGGAGAACCACAATAAATATTTACTTGGGGAAAAAGAAACATGGGCGATACAGAGCCATCGCGCACCAAAAAAAAAAAAACCAAAAAACCCTTAAATTCATTAACACAGAGTCATAACCAACTCATAGCTGATCTTCCAATGGGCTTGCAAGAGTCTCAACTGAAGGAAGGTGGGACTGTGAATGAAGGGTGGATTGCAAGTTTTTCTCCTCAGGAGACTCTGATTCAAACCATCAGACAAGCTTGGCTTGGCTTTTTAGGTCACTAAATCTATGCCATTTGATCATTTCCCTTTCAATCTCCTTGAAAAAGGAATTTCTGGATTAAGATTGCATAACATGTAGGTTGCTTTTGGTAGGACTGTCATTTTCACAATATTGAGTCTTCCTATCCATGAACAGGGCACATTTTCCCATTTCTTAAGGTCTTTTATTGTGTCTTGAAGAAATGATCTTTAGATTTCTTTGTATAGGTCTTTTGTATCTCTAGTTAGGTTCACTCCAAGTATCTCAATTTGTGGTTAGCTATTGTAAATGGTATTGCTTTCTTTATTTCCTTCTCTGAGTTCTCTTTGTTACTGTAGAAGAATCCTATTGATTTTTTGATATTGATCGTACATCCTGCCACTCTACTAAATTGGTCTACTAGTTCTAACAGTTTGGTGGTGTTGGGGTTTTTTTGCGTGGTGGTTTTTTGTTTTGTTTTGGTTTTTTTTTTTTTTTTTTAGTCCTTGGGGTTTTCTATGTATGCTATCATATCATTTGCATATAGCAACAGTTTAACCATCTCTTTGCCAATCCGGATGCATTCTATTTCCTTCTTTTGTCATATTGTCCTAGAAAGCACTTCCAATACAACATTGAAAAGAAATGGTGACAGTGGTATCTTGTCTAGTCCCTGTTTGCAAGGAAAATGTTTTTAGTCTTTCTCCATTTAGAATGATGTTGGCTCTTGATTTTGCATATTTACTTTTCACTATGTTGAGGAAATTTTCTTCTATTCCAATTTTGCTGAGTGTCTTTAGAAGGAAGGGGTGTTGGATTTTGTCAAATGTCTTTTCTGCATCAATTGCTAAGATCATATAGTTCTTGTTATTTACTTTGTCAATATAGTGAATTATGTTGATTGTTTTTCTTATGTTGAACCATGCTTGCATACCTGTTTTGAATTCCACTTGCTCATGATGAATTATAATTTTTTTTATGTGCTTTTGGATTCTATTGGCTAGACTTTTGTTGTTGTTGTTGTTGTTGTTGTTATGTACCGTCAAGTTGCGACTCATAGCGACCCTATGTACAACAGCCCTAAACTCTGCTCTGTCCTGTGCCAATCACACTGTCTCCAACACTCCCATCCCAATTACCCCAGTCACTGAATTAATCTACCTCATAGAGGGCCTTCCTCTCCTGTGCTGTCCCTCCACCCTCCCAAGCATGATGTCCCTCTCTAAGGACCGGTCTCTCCTCACAACATGTCCAAAGTATGTTAGATGGAGCCTCAGAATCCTTGCCTCCAAGGAGCCACCCGGTTTAACCCTTTCCAGGACAAATCTGTTTGTTTTCCTAGCAGTCCATGGTATTCTCAATACTCTTTTCCAGCACCACAGCTCAAAGGCATCAATTCTCCTTCTATCCTCCTTGGTCATTGTCCAACTCTCTGATGCATAACCGGTGATTGCGAAGACCATGGCCTGTATCAGACGCACCTTAGTCTCCAGAGAGATACCATTGCTCTTCAGCACTTTGGAGAGGTCCCTAACAGCAGACTTTCCCATGGCAATGCGCCTTTTAATTTCCTGGCTGCTGGTGCCAAGACTGTTGACTATGGAGCCAAGCAAACTAAAGCTGTGTACAATCTCAATCTCTTCACCATCCATCCTGATGCTGCCAATTGGTCCAGTGGTGAGAATCTTGGTCTTCTTGACATTGACATTGTTAAGAAGAAAAAACAAATTCTGCCATTGTGGACTTGAAGTCATGGAGAAATGTTTCCAGGACTCGTCAGGAATTGGGAATGTTACATATTTAGCTTGAATTATGCCCACTGAGGGTCTCCTCAATATATATTTCAATATGATTTTAGCCTCTATCAACGCAGACATCCCTCTGAGCATCATTTTAGCCACTTTGGGAAAAATATATCTTAGTTATTGGTTGTTGTGTCAAACTCATAGCTGACCCTCCAGCGGGTTTTCAGAGTGAGTTTAATTTCATGGGAGTGTATTGCCCATCCATCTCCCACAAAGCAGCTAGTGGATTTGAACTGTGTGTCTTTGGGATTGCTGTGCAGCTCCTTACCATTACACCACCAGACCTTCCTGTTGTTGTTTTGTATTATCGAGTTGGAACCAACCTATACCTGACACTCCATCAAGTTTTCAGAGGCAGTTTAATGGCATAGGAGAAGAGTGCCCATCTTTCTGCCATGGAATAGCTGGCAGATTTAAACTGTGTGCCTTTGGGATGACAGTGCAGCTTTTTACCATTAAACCACCAGAGCTTCTAGTGAGTACAGGTATAACTCTAATGCTTCAAATGAACTCTTGTTGTTAGGTGCCATTGAGTCAACTATGACTCAGAGACCCTATTTACAATGGCTCTGAACCCAGTCCTACTCTGAGCCAATCTCACTATCTTTGACACAGCTGACCCTATAATCTTAACAGAAACTCATTTTTTCATGGCTTAAGAGGCTTGTTGTTATTGTTATGTGCCATTGAGTCATCTCCAACTCATAGCAATCCTATGTGCAATAGCTCTGAAGCCTGCCCTGTCCTAAGCAGGTTTCTCTGACTCTGACACACCTACCCCTATTTCCCCAGTTACTATTTCAATCCTTCTCATCTGGGGTCTTCCCCTCTGTGCTGTCCCTCCACCCTTCTGAGCATGAGGTCCTTCTACAAAGACTGGTCTCTCCTGGCCACATGCCCAAAATATAGGAGACAGAGCTTCAATATCCTAGCCTCCAACGAGAAACTTGTTTTCACCCTCTCCAAGACAGACCTATTTATTATCTTGGTGGTTCATAGTATGTTCAAGATTCTTCTCCAGCATCACAAGTCAAAGGCATTGATTCTTCTTCTATTATCGTTTGTCATTGTCCAGCTCTCTTATGCATAACTAAGTAATTGCGAAGACCATGGCCTGCATTAGGCACACCTTAGTCTTGAGACAAACAGGACGCTTCTCAATACTCTAGAGAGGTCCCTGATAGCAAATTTTCCCAATGCAATTTGTCTTTTGTTTTCCTGACTCTGGTGTCAAGAGTATTGGTTGTGGAACAAAGCAAGCTGTAACTTTTAACAACCTCAATCTCTTCTCCATCTATCATAATGCTGTCAGTTGACCCAGTGGTGAAATCATTGTCTTCTTGATGCTGAGCTTCAATCCATATTGAAGACTGAAGTCCTTGATCTTCTGCAGCAAACGCTTCAGGTCCTTCTCAGTTTCAGCAAGCAAGGGTATGTTATCTGCATAACATAGGTTGTTGATGAGTCTTCCTCCAATCCTGACGCCACATTCCTCCACATAAAGCCCAGCCTTCTGCATGATCTGTTCTTTGTATAGATTGAAAAGGTATGGAGACAGGATGCATCCCTTTTGCACTTCTTTCCTGATTTTGAATCATGCAGTGTTTTCTTGGTCTGTTCTGAGGACTGCTTCCTGGTTCAAGTATAGATACCTGTATTTAGTGTACAAGTTTGCATGGCGGTGTGGGAACCCACAACTTTCTCTCTGTTAGCTCTGGAAGAAGGACATTATCTCTTTTTGAGCTTCCATTCCTAGATGATCATGTACATAGTTTGGCACCTCTCACAGCCACCCCTCCCCGCCCCCCCACCTCTGCTCTCCTGGCTTCTATAATTTTTATATATTGCAAAAGAAATTGACTCAAGATACACCCTACATTATTCTGACTCATTAACATTACAAAGACAACCAATTTTTAAACTAGTTGATAGCTATAATAATAGAAAATAGAATTTACAAC